ATGACTCCCGTAGTAAGTTCGTTCTAATTGGTCAATATTAACGGTCAATTGGTTGGTCCACGATTTACAATCTCACACTACCATTGATTGATCATTTGCATCCAATGAATTTATATGGACATCACTCCAAGATTTACACATGCTTAAAGCAACATATGCCAGACTGGGTGAGAAAATTTGCAAGTCTAAGCATACAGAGACTGTTGGTAGTGTTAATCCTTAAGTTTTGTGAACTGTAAGCACAAAAGCATTTTGTAATGGAAACTACATCCTGCTAGCATATAGGTGATCTAGATAAAATGTAGTAGTATCTTTTGACACAACAATGTCAACCACCCCACCATGAATGCAAAAAAACAACCCCGGCAGTATCCTGGCTAATATTTGCAACACCTATTGTTCCATCACAGATTCCTTTGTTGATTAATTTATTATTTAAATACATGTCACAGGCTCCCTGTTGTAATCTAACAATAGAGCATGGTGGTGGAAGTAGAAGATGTGGTGGTAGGAGTAGACTTGCCCCAAGGCAATGACTGATTATTTGTTAATGTGGTGGTGGTAAGAGTAGAGACATTAGTGTAATTTCTTGTTACATAAGACAAATTGTGTAGCTCCAGATATATTTCATATTCAACCAATGAAAGAGAACCTGAGAAGAAAACACATGAACCTTTGTGACATGATTCAGTGATCCTCTTTAGTCTACTATTATAAACTTGATTCTTTTGTTAGGGTTTTTTTTCTCTAGAAATCACATCCACCACATTTGCAATAAATACAATTTGTCTGACCTTCTGTCACAGTTACCCAGATGTCACAATATTGATGGGAGCACAGGTAAATCCTCAGGTTCTAGGATCCAGAATCTGGGTCTGAGTGACAATGATATTTTTTTAAAACAATATAAAAATACATATAATAACAATAACATATAACAACATTAAAAAAAACATAAAACTCTTACCTCCAGAACATTTTGTTCAATGCCACACACATCTTGCCATCAATGATAGATAAGACACATCCCGGGGCAATATTTCTTGGTAGGTAACATTCATACAAGTCGCCAATAGGATAGGATAGTTTTATTTTTATCTTTTAAATGGTGTCATTTTCATCCAATCTAATTGCACCTTCCTATCAGCATAGTGGAAATTTGAAATGTTACACTAATTTTTTATATTGTGCAATGTAGCTTTACAATACACAGCAAACATTC